GMKRTACGAGTTATACGACGACATTGTCATAGTTCAGCGAATTAGGAAAYAGCGGCTACGCTGGCTAGGGCGTCGGTATGGAAAAAAACACTCTAGCTCTGAAAATATTTGACACAGTAACCAGCGGGGGAAGCAGAGGAAAAGAAAGACATACATTCTGTTGGAGAGATCAATAGGAGAAGGACATGGTTGTACTTAGTATCTCGAATTGGTGCCAAATTGCGGAAAGAAGAACCAATTGGCGTGCTGTTGTTAACTCGGCTATAACCGCGTAAGCGGTGTCTACGCCAGTAAAGAAGAAGAATTGGAAAAATATCAAAACACCAGTATTTCATATCGACCGTATGCTCGGAGCAAATATACAAGCTTATTTTATTCACAACTATTTTTCAAAAATCTCCAAACCAAGACATATCTCGAATTGAATTTGGAATTTGGAATATTGAATAAGGAAAAATTGTATAGTTGCTACAAAGTATATTACTTTTGTATACCTAACGGGTGTATGTAGCACCCAATACTTATCAAGACAATCCGACCATCTGGGCAGGCTATAGATTTTTGTAATAGGGCTCTACAAAAGTAGATCGATAGGGACAGAAAAAGACGCCATATTTTTTCCCGCCCTTTTGACATTTATCTTCAGTAAAGTTTGCCATTTCATCATGGAAAGTTGGATCATAACAACGAGTCGAAGTTATTAAAATTTACTACCGAGTTTCGGAGTCAATGGCCTCAATTTTAAGAGCGGAGTTTTCAATAAGAGCGCTATAAAGTTTTTTTTTTCAACTAAAACAAACCCGGCTCGGGGTATCAATGAAATTCTTTATTCCTRTGAAAGTACATTCGATTTCATACAGTACAGTATATCGTAACATTACGAAACTAATGCGCTTCTCATATAACACTTTTTTTACCTYTAAGTCGGAGTAAGCGTTCACCACGTCTAATTTAAGTCCCTTCGCCCATTCTATGTTGATGATGAAGGTGAATCGATCAACTCATTTGCAATAATGATTTATTAAATTCATATTAGTTTTTGCAAAAACTTCATTAATATCGTTTGAAACTTTCAGAAATCATAAATAAAAGTTAACGAGGCAACTGACACTCTAAGGTTTTGAAAAGGTAGAAAATGTAACACTTTTGCCTGTTTAGAAGWCAACACTTTGAGRAAARAACACGCAACTTTGATAGCCCGARCATAGGCCAGCATAAAAGCAACATTTTTGTGAAGTTCTCAATTCACCATATCGCTATTGAAATCAATATGAAGAAGRCCGACTTCCTAAAGCCTGTGGCATCGCCCAGCGCACGCTTTCCAATATTTTGATACAGCTATGGTATATACTTGTATAAGCCATTAAGAACTCTTATTATGTCATCATACACAAAATTACAATAATAAGAAAATTACAATCATAATATTTTTTGGAGTTTGATGCAAGAACTGTATTACAACTCTAGCTTATAAGCCCGATGAAGATTTTGTATGTAAATAATAAATTCGGTTTGTTTGGCCTCTGATAAGACAAAAATGTTTATAAAGAGTCCAATTAGACGTGTCTTTATGAGCTTAGTGATTTTSGTTTSTTAAAAGAAATAACTCAAAGCTGTWRCGCAGWCCTAGCCTCTACAGGTAWGTTCGCCAGACACGTTAAAGGAGCTAAATGCTATACCAAAGTGGGAGAAGGGTTTCGAAGTTTTTTACTTTTAAGGCGTCAACATTAATGTAGACAAATGAATAAATAATTTTCTCAAAAAGAGAAAATTCCATTATTTTCTTAACACACCTCGCATGTAGAGTATGAATCGAAAAAATTKTTATTTATTTCTTCGCCAGTTTTAATGTATCTACTCACCTGCTTCACCCACAAATTGGTGGTCATAACTTGATTTCGCAAATTCACTTCAATGAGCTGAGACAACTTTAAGCCTAACCATACTGTCAATGTCTCAGTATTATTGACAACAGGGCGTATGAGTCTGTTGTAGTTACTCAATAAATCATCATAAAGACGTTTGGTGTCTGGATTAGCCTCGAAACTGATAGGATCTAGAAGTTAAGTGTATTTCTTTAAATTATTTTAATTCCAAAGTAAAATAAAATAAATTCAAAAGTATTTTAGAAGAAAAGTATAGCTTAGAACCACGATTAAAAAAATCGTTCCAGCAGTATATGAAATAATCACATTTAAATACTTAAAAGCGTCTCCCGGTAARAACACACGTGATAAGCACGTCGGCTGAGCACAAGGAAAATGTAAACAAAAACAAGAGCAATATGTAAACAGTAAACAAAAAATCTTCCCAAACAAACTCAAACTACAGTGTAAATTTATTGCATCCACCCGCATAAAATAACCCAAAACAGAGTAAATCGACGCATGCGCACGAGCTTATGTCAAACTGACAGYTGTCAGCAGTATGAACCACCCCTTGCTGTCGAAACGCAAAAAAGTATACAGAATATAAATGCATAGAATTCTTCCACACCCCAAAATAATAAGAAAACGAATTAATTTTCGTTTTTTTTTTCTTCTTGTCACTCACGCGTTGCACTGCTGTAGGGAAAGAGGAGTAGAAAATGCACAAAAACTACTTTTAACATCTTTGCGAATAGCCAACGTTATTTAATTTATTATTTTATACATATGTGAATTTTATAAAATAGTTTCACATATTTTTTTATCACTAAAATTATTGCTAACGGCCAACGTGGTTCGAACGTTTAGGATGCGCTCATTTGCAGGACTAAAGTTCACTACGTATGCTGAGCTATACGGATGCTGTATCGGCATCTAGATGTCGTTTGAAGTAAGGGAAATTTCCCTTAAATCAGAGTGATTATTTTGACAGCAATATWAACGGGTTTTTGTTTTGAACTTTTACACAAATTTTAGATTTGAAAAAAATTAATAATAATTAACATGTTTAAATATGTATTTACCTTTTTGAAAGCTTGAAAAAATGCGTGATTTGGTTAAAACCTTAAAGTAGAACCTGGAYGAAGAAAAAACTACTAAAAAATGGACTTTTTTCTGTGTAAAATTTCAAGAAGATCGGTTGAGTAGCTCTCGAGARATCTTGCCAACCGACTTCAAAAACACAATTTCGAGAAAAACGCGTTTAAAGAAGTGTTGTAGAATATAATAGGACAATAAAACATTCTATATTTTGAAACCCGTAAACCCATGTAATATATATAATTTCATAACGTCATGAACGAAAAAATGGAAATGTTCAGTGTGGCTGTAGACCTGGGAAGTAAAATCTACTATTAACCAGATATTCACCATGCGCCAAATTTTGGAAAAGACTTTTGAAAAAAAATCGACAAACACCACCTCTTCATCGATTTTAAAGCTGCCTACATCAGCACGAAAAGGAGMTGTCTTTATGCCGTGATGTCTGAATTTGGTATCCCCGCAAAACTAATAGGGCTGTGTTAACTGAAATTGAGGTCCCCAAAAGCTCCGTCAGAATCAGGAAGGACACCGAGTCATTCGATGCCAAGCGACAGATTTCACAAAAGCGGACTCTCTATCATGTGAGTGTAAGGCTGCTGTAGTACGTCGAAGATATTGWTACCATTGGCCTCAACAACTGCCGTTAGTTCTTATTTGCCCAGATTGGATAAGGAAGCGAAGCGTATGGGTCTGGTTGTAAGCAAGGACAAGATGAAAAGGCTCCTGTCATCAAACAGGCAATTGACAGTCATAAATTTAAATTCGTCAGTAGATTCGTCTATTTTGTAACCAGTATTGACACCAACAACAATATCTCAATGAAAAAATAGGGTAGATTTCTCTWCTCCTTTACTGGCGTAGACACCGTTTACGCATTAATAGCCAAATTAACAACAACGACAGGTCCTTCTCCATCTGATCTTTCCAACGGAGTTGAGGTCTTACTCTTCTTCTGCTTCCAACGGCGGGTATTGCGTCGAATTTCGAGATAGAGTGTTTCGTCCATAAGTACGACATGACTTAGCCAGCACAGCCGCTGTCTCTTAATTCGCTGAACTATGCCAATGTCGTCGTATATCTCATATAGCTCATCGTTCCGCATAACTATTATCTCAAACAATCCTAACGCCGACTCATCAGTTGTTGTCATCGTCAATGACTCCGCACCATATAATAGGAACGGGWATGATGAGCGACTTAGTGCGTTTGGTCTTTGTTCGTCGRGAGAGGASTTTACTTCTCAATTGCCTACYCAGCCAACAGGTRCTACGTTGGCAAGAGATATTCTGGGCGGATTTCGAGGCTGACTTGTTGTTGCTGTTAATGC